ATTATTTACTATCATTTTTTCTTATTTTTTGAGGTAGGCCTGTAGAGCTATAAACTTTCCTCTCAGGACTGCTTTCATTGTGTCCCATAGGTTTTGGATTGTTGTGTTTTATTGTCATTAGTTTCCAGGATGTTTTTAATTTCTTCTTTGATCTCATTGGTAACCCAATCAATATTTAATAGCATGCTATTCAGCTTCCAGGTGTTTGAGTATTTTGGGTTGTTTTTATTGTAGTTTATTTCTAATATTATGCCATCGTGGCCTTTTTTGTTCTTAACGATATATTTTCATTGATCTCAGAGAGGGAGAGGAAGAGAGAGAGAGGAACATCAATGATGAGAGAATCATTGATCAGCTGCCTCCTGCATGCCCCCCACAAAGGATTGAGCCTGCAACCCAGGCATGTGCCCTAACTGGGAATCAAACTGTGAGCTCTTGGTTCATAGGTCTGAGCTCAACCACTGAGCCACACCCGCCAGGCAGGGTTATGAACATTTTTAAAGTTCTTGATCTGTACTCTCAGATTGCTTTTCAGAAAGATATAAGTTTACTAGAGGCTCGGTGCACAAAAATTTGTGCACTCGGCGGGGGAGGGGGGAGGATCCCTCAGCCCAGCCTGTGCCCTTTCGCAGTCTGGGACCCCTCGGGAGAGGACCACCTGCTGGCTTAGGCCTGCTCCCTGGGGGATTGGGCCTAAGCTGGCAATCAGACATCCCTCTGGCAGCCTGGCAGCCCTCGGAGGATGTCCACTTGCCAGCGGGGAGCAGACCTAAGCTGTAGTCAGACATCCTTAGCACTGCTTAGGAGGCAGGAGAGGTTCCCACCACCACCGCTGTACTGGCAGCCATCAGCCTGGCTTGTGGCTGAGCAGAGCTCCCCCATGTGGGAGCGCACTGCCCACCAGAAGGCAGCTCCTGCATTGAGCGTCTGCCCCCTGGTGGTCAGTGTGTGTCATAGTGACCAGTCATTCCCAGTCCTTCTGCTGTTAGGGTCAGTTTGCATGTTACCCTTTTACTATATAGGATAGAGACCTGGTGCACTAGTGGGGGCCGGCTGGTTTGCGCTGTAGGGTGTCCCAGATCAGGATGGGGGTTCCCGCTTGGGTGCCTGGCCAGCCTGGGTGAGGGGCTGATGGCTGTTTGCAGCTGATCATACCCCCTTCAGGGTGGGGGTCCGCACTGGGGTGCCTGGCCAGCCTGGATGAGGGGCTGATGGCTGTTTTCAGGCTGGCCACACCACCTTTAGGGTGGGGGTCCCCACTGGGGTGCTTGGCCAGTGTGGGCGAGGGGCCGAGGGCCATTTTCAGGCTGCCTGGCGACAAGCTCCCAGCTTCTCCTTTTTTTCTTTTTTCTTTTTTTATTCTGGGATTTATTTACCTTCTATAATTGAAACTTTGTTGCCGTCACTGGAGCTGAGAGCAGGGTCCTGCTCGCTCCAGCTCTGAGGCCACGGCCTGCTGAAAGCAGGTATCTGGGGTTTGTTTAGCTTCTATAATTGAAACTTTGTTGCTTTCGGAACTTAGAGCTGAGCCGCGGCAGGCGGGGAACCTTGGCTTCCTCCATCACTGGAGCAAGCAAGCCTCCTGCTTGCTTCAGCTGCATGGCTGCTGGCCGCCATCTTTGTTGGCGGTTAATTTGCATGTTGTGCTGATTAGCCGATGGGAGGCGTAGTGAAGGTACAGTCAATTACCATGTTTGTCTATTATTAGATAGGATATTCACATTATTCATGTCATTTTTTGCTTGCCACTTTAAAAAGTTAAAAATGGAAGTACATATATGTAAATTTACATGTGTGTATAAATATAGTGTATATGTGTAAAGTAAATATATAAAGTCAATTTAAACTCACTCTCATTAGTTTCCTCTGTGGCCACCACTATTGTGGCCACAGAATTTCCTCTGTGGCCACACTATTGGTTTCATATGTACTAGTATATGTTTTTACACAAATGATCCCATTTACACAAATGGGATCATCCGTACATGAATAAATATGTCCAAGATGTTATTAGTACAGAAGAATGCCATTGTATATAGTTTGTCATTCTTACTAATGGCTTCAGAGTCCCACTATATGAACATACCATAACTTATTTAAACAGCTATGAATGACTTTCTATTTGTAATAAAATAGAAGACATTTTATTGTGCATATATCTTTTTTGCCTTTGAATATATCTGAAAGTCAGATTCCTAGAGGTAGACATATTGCTTTTTGGAAAAGTCATGCCATCCTAGACTCCTCAATATGTAAAAGTACCTGGGTCCCCATAATCTTGCCACTACTGGTTATTATCAGGTCTTTTAATCTTTGCCAACTTGATAAGTAAAAAAAAAAATCATTTTAATTTGCATTTCTTAATTACAAATGAGATTGAGAGTTTATGTATTTGACCTTTTGGGGGGAGCAAAGGGGGGGGCGTTTTCTTTTAATCGGTATGCTACCCAAAGTATCAAACACACTTTGAGGAGTTTAAATATGCGACCATTTACTGAGTCCTTGTGCCAGGCATAGTGCTCAGCTTTAAGGTGTCAGCCAAGTGCTATAGAAATGCTTATTTGCTCAAATTATTTTAAAATGTTAGATTACTTTAAGACACATAACAGATAAAATCCAAGATATATAAATTCCTATATAGCTTTGGTTAATGAAATTTTCATTTTATACTCGCTGTTATCTGCACCAAAGAATGTTTAGCTGTTATCAGTTACAAAGACTTATCTGTTCAGTGTTTTTCAGACAGATTTATCTGAGGGTAGCATACATTTGCTAGAAGAAAAATGTCTAAGGAGGATGATCACTTTCCCCATTTAGATTTATTTCTATTGACAAGAAATAAAACTAGCCTCTTAAAAGAGGTTTTTCCCTGGCCCGGTATGGCTCAGTTGGTTAAAGCATCGTCCCATGCCCTGTAAAGAAAAAGATGTTTGGGTTTTTTTCTTGATAGTTTGTAGTTAACACTAACAAATCCTTTGTGAGACAACTACTTGTAATAACAAAAGATTATCCCATTAACAGCTGTTTTTATCAATTGAGTAAAATTAGAGCATAACCATTTTTAGAACTCAAAGGAAAAATTGCAACTTTGAATTTATCTTTTGTGTTGTTGTTAGTAACATACATAGAAGGAATATACCACTCTAGTTAGGAGTGAAGAGTCAATCTCTCTGCCTGTTCCTTCATCTTTAAAATGGAAGGAATAACATTTGTCTCCTAGGTTTGTTCTGAGGTTTAAATGAGATAGTGGTAAAGTACTTCCTGGGACAAAAGTATTCGACATATGTTATCAAATAACAATTAATGTAATTGTAACTAAAAATTCTTTTTTCCAGACATTCAGAAATATATTCCATGTTATCAGCTTTTTAGGTGAGTAAGCAAGAACAAGTAAATAATCCACTGTGAAAATTACTCTGCAAGTGAAGTAATTTTTAAAACTAACAGAGTATCTTTGTTATATATGGTGCTGCTGTTTAAAATGAAAAGACTTTTTTTTTAATACATGAAAATTTACTTGTTCATTTCAACCCTAATATTTCATTCTTTGTATTTATATGCTTGTGTTAGCTGGTCTCTACTGCCTCTCCCAGGTACCAGTTTACTTTGAGGATTGCTTTTCCTTCTCACACCCACTCATCTCATTGCATTATTATAAACTCAGTGACACAACTTTATACATCAACTGCAGCCTTTTTTCCTACCCTTTTATTCTAGTTTATCATAGGTTTCTTCACTTATCGTATTTTTTTAATGTTATATTTTGTCAATTAACCAGTTAGGTTCTTTACCCTGCTTCCTTTTGCTATTCTAGGGCGAAAACTTATGCTCTTAGTCCTACAGATAGAAGTAGTATTGTTAGCTCTTAATATAAGCTGTGGTATTTTTAAATACTTTGTATTGAAGTATTGTTACATACATTTGGAAAAGTACACAAATGAATGTTCATAAAGCAAGCAGTTATAACTATAACATGGTATAGTTTTAATGAAATAGCTTTATGATTTATATAAACTATATGAATAATCAACATTATTATCTTACAGTCACACTTAGTGATTGTGTAATAGTTGCAATGGAGCACATGGTTAAGGTGATAAAAATTTATGGTAGGGGATGATAGAAATAAAGGCTTAGTATAGTCTTAAACTGCTGCACCAAAAAGAGGTACAGCTCATACAGTGCCTTACATACAATGGACATACAAACATATTTGTTGAATGACTAAGGGATTCTTGGTGGAGTCTCATGAAAAGTATTTCTCTGGACCTGCCTTTGGTAGATGGAACACTTTATTTTGTCTATTTTTCCATTAAAAACATTTTTTTTTTTTATAATCCTCACCCGAGGATATTTTCCCACTGATTTTTAGAGAGCGTGAAGAGAAAGGGAAAGACAGAAAGAAAGATCAATGTGAGAGAAACTGATTGGTTGCCTCCTGCACAGGCACCAGGGCCCAAGCTGGGGAGGAGCCTGCAACCAAGGTACCTGCTCCTGACTGGAATTGACCTGGGACCCTTCAGTCTGCAGGCCGATGCTCAATCCACTGAGCAAAACCAGCTCAGGCTCCTTTAAAAACTTTTAATGTAAGCATTTGTAATTTAAAAAGAAAAAACATTGTCCATTAGGATATACCTTCGGTTCTATGTAACTTAATTTTTAGTGTACAGATTAGAATTACCATTAAACTTATTACAGTGACTTATTTATAAAGGATTTTGCATTATAGATAGTGCACCATCATAGAAAAGAATATGTTTTATCTCAATGAATGTTAACAGAAGGAAAATATTACATGCATTCCTTGTTGGAAGGGAAAGAAGGCTGGAAGTAAACGCTTTAGAGTTTAAAATCTTTTAGAATTATCTTTTAATTCTCCCTACATCTTTGACTTTCCAGCTACAGAACAACGAACACTAAACTAAAGCAGTACCTATTTTGTGCTCCCCTCCCCATTAAAACAAAAAACAAAAAAAAACAACCACCTCCTAAAACACTTATCTTAATTTAATGCAAATACTGCCTTTGGAATTAACAATGAATAAATTGTCTTTTCATTATTGTGCTCCAATACTCATTTTACATCTCTTTTGTATGTATCAATATTTTCCTTTAAGTTTTAATAAGTAAATTATGAATTAATTTTGAACTGGCTACGTGAATTCACAAATACCTATATTAAATGAATAGTGTTTTATTTCAAGAAAATGTGATGCCCAAAGTTATCTCTTGAGGTTTCTCCACCCTTTTTCCTTTTTCATTGCTTATGGACCTCATATTTCTACCACTTTAAGTCTGATACTTTGAGAACGTTTTCTACTATTTATTTTAGAACTTCATCTGACAAGCAGGTAGATATATATGGATTTGGGTTGGGTAGTTAGGTTAGGAGTAACTAAAATTAAAGGTGCTAATAAAATCATATTTTTAGCGTATTTGAAATGCCTTTAATTTTGGCTTTTACAGTTTCTACAATTCTTCTGGTGAGTTAAATGAGCAAGCACTGAAGAAAATACTATCAAGTATCAAAAAGGTATTCCCTGACTTACCTTGTCTTTTATATTATAAATATTATTTTCAGTTCCTAAAAACATGTAACACTTTGACAGAACTTTTAAGCACCATGTGTCATCACGATGTCCTATAAAGCAGGTGAAGTAAGGCTTGTTCTTTCCAGAAATTTAAAGGGGCTGCTCTGAAAGCAAAACTAGTCATTAAAAGAATTAATCTTGTTTTCATTCTTCCCTTGACTATTCTAATGAACATTGATCTCTTCCTCTTCTACTTTCCCACCGTACCCCTTCCCAGTACCATTTATTCTAGGACTTAATCCATTACTGTTTTTACATAGCTGCAGTTACTTGTTTTTATAGTGCAGGGAGGAGTTCCTATACAGCACCTAATTTGATTCCTCCACAGCATACCTGGTGTTCAGTTAAAATTTGTTGAATGATCAAAATACATATTTTTCCCCCCCAAATACAAAATTTTTTCTGGGTACTGTTTTCATCTTAAAACTGTTTGATCTCTGAGTTCAAAATAAAAATAAATTCAGTAAAAGAAGTTTCTTTCAAAAAATCCTTTGTTGGAAATGCTTGGTTTCCAATTACATTTTTTAAATGTGCCTGTGAAAATGTGTTAGTTGTAAAGAGATGTAACTTTACCCGGCCAGTATGGCTCAATTGTTGAGCGTCAACCTATGAACCAGGAGGTCATGGTTCAGTTCCTGATAGGGGAACAAGCCCGGGTTTCGGGCTCAATCCCAGTGGGGTGTGTACAGGAGGCAGCCATTTAATGACTCTCTCTCATCATTGATGTTTCTCTCTCTCCTTCTCCCTTCTTCTCTGAAATAAATAAAAATATATTTTTTTAAAAAGTAATTTTAATTTCCTCAATTTAAATGAGCAAATATAAAACTTAGTTGCTGAAATGGTCACAGACAGATCTCTAAGTGAAGTGATTGTTTTCTCTCTTTTTTACAATTACTAAGTTTCAGCAAATGAGATTAATTTTGTAGTTTAAAAAAAAGGTTTAGTAACACTTAACATATTTCTTTAGCATGTTCACAACCCTTTCACATGATCTTATTCAGTCTTGAAACCAATTCTCTGGGGTAGGTGATAAATCATTACCATATAAATTTCAGTTTTAAAAGCTACTGGGTTCAACTTACTTATTTAACAAACCAAGTATCCATATAGGAATTCAACTTGTTTTCATTGACATTTTCTTAGTTTAAATTTTGACTAAAGATTAAGATTTTTTTTTTCCCTCCTGAACAGGCATTTAATAGTCTTATTTCATTTGGAAGCAGTAATTGGAGAATAAGTTACAGGGACAGACATAAAACAAAACTCACACAACTTAAAGTGCTTCAGGCTGCAAACATAAACATGAGGGGCAGGAAAAGACCACCTAGCTATCTCCCCTCCCCTCTGAGACAGGAGGGTCATTGTCTGGGTCCCTTTAGCATCACCACCCTCTAATCTCAGCCCTAGGGTGAGTAGGTGGGAGATAATGTCAGAGGTAGGAAAGACAACTTAATATGAATGAGAAACCACTTTATAAACTTAGAACCAGGGAACAAGGCAGGGAAACAAGGGAGCTCTTAGAACCCTTGCCCTGACCAAGGGGTGGGACCAGCACCTCCTCTCCCCCACCCCCCACCAGGAAGTCAGGGAAATACTGTTGGTTTAGTGCTGCAGCCATACCTGCCCATTTCACCTCATCAGCAGACACAGACAGGCTATGGCCTCCTCACCTACATTGGGAGGCATCCCTAGGGGGAGACAGCCTGGAACAAGGACCCCCTTCAGAGACATTTGATTTCTTGGAGTGTAAGAGGGCCTGCAAGGTGCTACCTTATGGGCTCCACCACCAGGACTTTGCACTTGCACTTGCAATTTTGTGCAGAGAGCACAGCCTTTTCTGGGGGCAGGTAGAGGGAGCAGCCAACTAGGGAGGCCACAGGGGATGTGATGGCCCTGCGCTCCATCACACTGCCGGACCTGGAGGAAGGCAGAGGATGTGGGCTCTAGTTAGACCTCAGGGCCACCTCCTGCTCCCGCTCCAATTCCGGCCTCTACTACTGAGTCCAGTGGCTCCCCTCCCTCGGTTCCATACCTCATGAGGTGGCTGCGGGAAGGCTGTTGGTGGGAGAAGGACTGAGAGTGGCCCAGGCTAGCCTGGTGCCTCTCCACCAAGTCCCGGACACCTGGGCTGCTGGGACTGCTCTTTCCAGAGAGGGGCTGGGCCTCGGGTGGAACGTGGGACACACTAGCAGTGAATTGTAGCTTCAATTTCATGTACTGGCTCAGCTGGGGTGGAAAGACACAGATCAGCATTCCCATTTGGCTTCCAGGCCCCAGACCTCCTTTCAAATCACCTTTTCCTTTGACAGACAAATATTGGACCTAAATTTCACCTTCCCTCAGCCTGCCTTTAGTGCCATCCATTGTATTTCATCTCCAGCAGTTAGCAGCCCTGATGCCTCCTATCCCAACATTCTGCATCACCCACCACACCGTCCACCCCCTCTTCAGCACCTCCCCAGCCCACCTCAAAGAGCCCTGTCCTTAGAGCCTGGAAGGCTACACTGAAGGTGAGTGCACGCCCTTCCAGGAAAAGCCAGGGTTGAGAGGCGTGTGGCAGACAATGGAGTCTAGGCAGCCTGCATGGTCCGAAGGTCCTCACACAGCTGGTTTCCTGGGGGGCAGAAACAGCGACCAGTAAACACATCTGTACAGTGTTCCTCAGCAAGGGGCTTCCAGGAGCACAGTCTTGATTGATCCTCAAAGTCATCCAGCCCGTGCGTGCTCTGGGGTCCACACAAGCCTCACAGCAAGGAAGTCCTGGAGATTGTTGAGCAGCATGTAGGTGACTGAGAAATGCTCATAGGTCTGAACTGGGGACTCACAAGGAGCAGTCATCACAAAGCATGGGCGTCCAGACGAACACTGGGCAGGTGGTAGTGGGTGTAGACGCTCTGGGTGAAGGGCAGCTTGGGGGTGGACCACTGAACCACAGCAATCAAGGGGACTTCTAGGCCCTTGGCCTTAGGTGTCCCTGGGGCCAGTCTATCCAGGCTAACAGTGAGTGGGAAGATGACCTCATCTGTGGACACAACTGGTTCCTCCACAGGCAGCGTGGTCACTCCCCCTGAGGTGGCAGGGCCTAGGTGGTGGGTGAGAAGTGGGCTGCAGCCTCAAACAACCCCCCACTGCCTGGATCCTCGCTCCCTGAGGGTTCAGGAGGCTGACTGCCTGGGCTGCCAGGGCAGTGGCCAGTTCTGCCAGGGCCACCCCCAGCGCTAAAACCCCCTCCTGTCCACCCTTCCCCCACCCCCGCAGCAAAGCACTAGCAGGAAGCAGGCAGTCTCCCCCAAGTACAGATGGTTGAGCCCGGAGCAGTGCCTGGTACCGGTCTGGGTCCCCCACCAGTGGCATGGCCGAGCTAAAGATTAAGATTTTAAAAGAGCAAAATGCCATAGATGAAGTTAATCTTTTCCCCCCTAATCTATATTGAATAAAATTTAGTCCTGAAACTGAATAAAAAGTAATTTAACTGCAAGACAGTTTGCATACTTTACAAAGTATAAAAGTGTATATTTAAGTATATGTTTTTACATATGCCCCAAATCTTGCTAAATATTAAGAAAGCCATTTTTTAGGCTGTCAATTTTATTGCTTAATTATGATGACACATAATAATTGTAATTATTAAGGTGTTTTGTTTTTTTCTGTATTTCCTTTCAGGATGTGGTGGGTTGGTACAAATTCCGACGCCATTCAGACCAGATCATGACATTTAGAGAAAGACTGCTTCACAAAAATTTACAGCAGCATCTTTCAAGCCGGGAACTTGTTTTTTTGCTATTAACACCAAGTATAATAACAGAAAGCTGTTCTACTCATCGGCTGGAGCATGCCTTATATAAACCACAGAAAGGGTAAATGTTGGCCAGTCATTGGCTATCCTCAGCTAATAGAAAAATACACTCAATATTTTTATAGCACTTTTAGTAGCTTACCAAGTATTTTCATACATTGTTACATTAGATTGTCATAATATTGCTCTGAAGTGTGTCTTACCATCTGTTCTTAATAGATGGGAAAATGAATGTCAGATAAAGAAATTAGAAGCCCAGTATGGAATGTTGACTTACGTTTCTGGTACTGAGGGTTTGCTATTATTTAACATAAGGTGGAAAAAATGTGTGCTTTAGATATTTTTTTAAAATATATTTTATTGATTTTTTACAGAGAGAAAGGGAGAGAGGGAGTTAGAAACATCGATAAGAGAGAAACATCAATCAGCTACCTCCTGCACACTCCCTACTGGGTATGTGCCCGCAACCAAGGTACATGCCCTTGACCGGAATTGAACCTTGGACCCTTGAGTCCACAGGCCGACGCTCTATCCACTGAGCCAAACTGGTTAGGACTGTGTGCTTTAGATATTGGTTGCTAAAGGATATAATGTAGAATTTAAACCTAGATACTTGAGCAGCTTTTCTATAACCTCTACAAGGAAGCAAGGTAGTTGATGATCTACCAAAATGGTTAAACAGACTCCCCAAAGATTATATAAACATTTTCATGGAATATGAGAATTTTGAAAGAGTACCAACTAAGGTTAATTTTATTATTCATGGAAGATAGGCTAAATCTCAACAATACAGCCTTCTATTTATACTAGAGGCCCAGTGCACAAAATTTGTGCACTCAGGGGGAGCCCCTCAACCTGGCCTGTGCCCTCTCACAGTCCAGGAGCCCTGGGGGGATGTCCAACTGATGGCTTAAGCTGGCAGTCAGACATCCTTAGTGCTGCCGCAGAGGCAGGAGAGGCTCCCGCCACTGCCGCTGCGCTCACCAGCCATGAGCCTGGCTTCTGACTGAATGACGCTCACCCTGTGGGAGCACACTGACCACCGGGGGCAGTTCCTGCATTGAGCGTCTGCCTCCTGGTGGTCAGTGCATATCATAGCGACTGGTCATTCCTTCATTCAGTATTTGCATATTAGCCTTTTATTATATTGGATGTGCTAATCAGTTACAATAGCCATAAAAGTATTTTTATGTAATTATTTTATACTATGTACATGCCACTTCTTTTTTAATACTCACCTAAGGATATTTTTGCATTGATTTTTATTATTTAAAAAAAATTTTAAAAATATATTTTGATTTCACAGAGGGAGAGGGAAAGCGAAATAGAAACATCAATGATGAGAGAGAATCATTGATCGGCTGCCTCCTCCAAGTCCCCTACTGGGGATCAAGCCCACAACCCGGGCATATGCCCTTGACCGGAATCGAACCCGGGACCCTTCAGTCCACAGGCTGACACTCTAGTCACTGAAACAAACCAGTTAGGGCTTTCCATTGATTTTTAGAGAATTTGAAAGGGAGGGGGAGAGACAGAGAGAAACATCAGTTGGTTACCTCCAGCACACACTCCAACTAGAACCAGGGATCAAGTCTGCAACAGAGGTATGTGCCCTTGACTGGAATCAAACCTGAGATACTTCAGTCCATGAGCCAATGCTCTAACCACTGAGCTAAACTGACTAGGGTACTTCACAACTTTTAAAAGCCATTTTCCTCAAGTCCGTAAATTCTATCTTGGATAAGTAATAATAGGATTTTTTTGTTTTTTAATCTTGTAGGGGAAAGGTAGTCTATACTAATAAGTAGATGCTAATCTTTGCCTTTATTCTAGGTTTATATTTTAAAATTTTATTTCCTCAGACTTTTTCATAGGATACCTTTAGTGGTGGCCAACCTGGGCATGTCTGAACAACTAGGTTACAAAACTGTATCAGGTTCCTGTACATCCACTGGTTTTAGCCGAGCAGTAAAAACACACAGGTGAGATTCCTCAATTGCTTCCCCACTAAACTTATTCCTATTCATTTACTGAAATTAATTTTTAAATTATACAACTGAATAAAAATAAAAGGAAAATCGACTAATACCCATATCACTCAAATAAATTAGACTTATTACTTTTTCCATATTTCCTTCTAGCACTTTTCCATTTATAAAATACATAGAGGGAAGTTGTTGCATATTTTACCATATTTTCTAAGAATAAGTAGCTAGCCTTAAAATAATAAATTTTCTAAGGCACCAGTTCAGATTAAAGGCATGAAATTAGACTGCATAATAAATACAAAAAATGAGGCCAAGATTCACACATACTACCAGCTGCTAAGTTACAACTTTTTTGTGATCATTAAAGAAATGACTGTCAGAAATAGCAACACTGGTATTACAGAATACTTCCTAGTGAATAAACTCTCAGAAAAGGCACTAGAGAGAGAACCAAGATGGCGGCATAGGTTAACGCCCGAGTTTGCTGCCTCGAACAACCACTTCAAAAGTGAAACTAAAAGACGGAACGGACATCACCCAGACCCACAGGAACGCTGGCTGAGTGGAGGTCCTACAACTAGGATGAAAGAGTAACGCATACGGACACTCAGAGCAGGCGCAGTGCTGAAGTCAAATGCTGAGGTGCGGAGTGCGCGGAGCGGGCGGCGGCGGAGGGCGCGGGTGGCGTTTTCAATCGGGAGGGAGTCGCAGCCTCTGAGCTCCAGATCCGGGAGAGTCTTTAGGGGCACAGACTCAAACGGGAGAAGCAGGACTGTCTGGTTTCGGTCGGAACTCGAGGGCAGCTTTCTCTCCGAGGTTTGCAGCGGTTGCTGGGACTGAGAGAGGCAGAGCCCCCAGGACAGGACTGAGAGCGGCCATAACTGCTCTCCCTCTCCGGCCCGCCCTGTTGATCCCATGGGCCCCGCCCCGCCCAGGCCCGGCACAGAGGCTTTGGCCCGATAGCCTCAAGCAACGGCGAGATTAGCACCTCCCTAGAGGACAGTAGTTCTCTCACTGCAGACACAGCTGATTCTCACAGCCACTTGGCCTGGAGGTCAAATCCCCCCTGGTGTTAGCTACAACACCAGGCTTCACTAAAAGACTGCTCACAAAGACCACTAGGGGGTGTACCAAGAAAGCATAACAAAATGCGGAGACAAAGAAACAGGACAAAATTGTCAATGGAAGATATAGAGTTCAGAACCACACTTTTAAGGTCTCTCAAGAACTGTCTAGAAGCCACCGATAAAGCTATTAAGATCTTCGAGAAATCTAATGAGACCCTCGATGCTATTATGGGGAACCAACTAGAAATTAAGCATACACTGACTGAAATAAAGAATATTATACAGACTCCCGACAGCAGACCAGAGGAGTGCAAGAATCAAGTCAATGATATGAAATCCGAGGAAGCAAAAAACACCCAACCGGAGGGGCGGAATGAAAAAAGAATCCAAAAATGCGAGGATAGTGTAAGGAGCCTCTGGGACAGCATCAAGCGTACCAACATCAGAATTATAGGGGTGCCAGAAGATGAGAGAGAGCATGATATTGAAAACCTATTTGAAGAAATAATGACAGAAAACTTCCCCCACCTGGTGAAAGAAATGGACTTACAGGTCCAAGAAGCGCGGAGAACCCCAAACAAAAGGAATCCAAAGAGGACCACACCAAGACACATCATAATTAAAATGCCAAGAGCAAAAGACAAAGAGAGAATCTTAAAAGCAGCAAGAGAAAGAAACTCAGTTACCTACAAGGGAATACCCATACGACTGTCAGCTGATTTCTCAACAGAAACTTTGCAGGCCAGAAAGGAATGGCAAGAAATATTCAAAGAGATGAATACCAAGAACCTACAACCAAGATTACTTTATCCAGCAAAGCTATCATTCAGAAGTGAAGGTCAGATAAAGAGCTTCACAGATAAGGAAAAGCTAAAGGAGTTCATCACCACCAAACCAGGATTATATGAAATGCTGAAAGGTATCCTTTAAGAAGAGGAAGAGGAAGAAAATGGTAAAGATACAAATTATGAACAACAAATATGCATCTATCAACAAGTGAATCTAAGAATCAAGTGAATAAACAATCTGATGAACAGAATGAACTGGTGATTATAATAGAATCAGGGACATAGAAAGGGAATGGACTGACTATTCTTGGGGGGAAAGGGGTGTGGGAGATGCAGGAAGAGATTGGACAAAAATCGTGCACCTATGGATGAGGACAGTGGGTGGGGAGTGAGGGCGGGGGTGGGGCGGGAGGAGGGGAGTTATGGGGGAAAAAAGAGGAACAAATGTAATCTGAACAATAAAGATTTAAATTAAAAAAAAAAAAAGGCACTAGATTTTATTTATTTTTGTGTTCCCACAGTACTTACCAGTGTCTTACATTTTGTTGATTCTAAGATGTACAGTTTTAAATTTACCTCAAATTGGGATATTTTACAAACCATGCCTTAGCATTTTTTTCTTCTTGGTATGTAAAATAATGGTGCCTCTTTCAATCAATGAAGCTTTAAGATCAGTAAAATATGACTGTGATTCTTCCATAGCTCAACTACCAATAAGTTTTTCATCATATCATTAAATGAGTTCTGTACACTTGCCTGATGAAATGATGTTTTACAGCCCTGAGTTTTTTAAAGAAGATGGATCTTTAAAGGAAGTACACAAGATAAATGAAATGTATGCTTCTTTACAAGAGGAATTAAAGGTAACATAACTTGTCCAACACTTAGAGATCACTTTAGAGTTGATATCAAATTGATCATTGAGAATTTTTAGGGATAAATGAACATTAGATTAGATTTAATTTTAGTTTCATTTAGCTTCAGTAACAAAGACCTTAATCTCAGTAGCCTATACATACAAAAGTTCAGTCTCTCATTATGTCTTGGCTGCAACTCTGCTCCTGTTCTAAGTACTAGTATCTTCATTCTAGGATCCAGACTGAAGATGCAGCCCTTACATGGGACATGCTCTTCTCATGACAAAGGAAGAGCAAGAAAGCTAGTGGAAATTCACAGTTCTTAAAACTGCTCAGAGATGGCTTGTCTCTTCCACTTATATTTCATTGGTCAGAGGACATCGCATGACAATAGGTAGGGACATATAATCCTTTTATAGGATAAAAACAACAGCAAATATTTGGGAACAAGACAGTCTAGCACTGTATTTAGTTCTATCTTTGTCAGTTCAGTCCTTTAGAAGTAAACATCAAGGTAAGATTAGATTTATTAGGCTGAGAAGGGGAGGGTGCTCCTGAAAAAGACAGAGAAAGCAAATTGGGTAGGAAGAGCTTAGACTGCAGGACGAGAAAGTTTCAGCCAGGCAAAGTTGTCCTATAGGAATGGGCTTGTAATAATACCCACAACATGCTCAGTCACTAAGAGCAGCCTAGAGAAAGCCTGGCCTAAGCACAGACACAGTAGTGGGCCCAAAAGCATGGCAGCTGGGCTGCTAGTCAACTATGCCTCCTCCAGATGGAGCTTACAGTAGTATACTTCCATGGTCACCATACTCATCAGTATAGCACGCTAAGAGAAATGACGTTAATACATTTTACACACTATTAATATGAATGATAGTACAGGAATTTTAGAAAAGAGAAACATATTCAAAATTCCACCACTGCAATATAACTATTCTCACTTTGCCATATTCTGCAGTTTTTCCCTAATGTATACATGCTTTTATATAGTTGATAGTGATAAAGGCACATAAATGTGTATCATGATATTTATTTATTTGATGTATTAAACATTTTTCATCTGTAATAGTGTCAACAGTTAAAAATAAAAAAATAGTTTCTTTTACAGGAATTATGAAAGTCCTGTATGAAAATTCTTGCATAACAGTAAAATTCAGTCACTTTTCTTTAATATTAAATCTTTACCTCTCAAAACAGTACAGTATTGTGTGTTTCAAAGCGAGTTATTTTTATTTCAGTGCATTATCAAAGAAATAACTGGTATGATAAAGCCAGGGAAATTAATACATCTGTAAAACATTTGCTACCTATAAAGTACCATACAAGTGCTTATTATTGAGTTCCTCCAAAAAAATAGCAAAATTAAAGTTTTTATAAAAGCAAATAATACTTAATATTATGTACCATGAAGGATTTTATGAACCCAGACTGGGAACTTTATCCATATCCTTGCATTATTTTGCAGAGTATATGCAAACAAGTAGAAGAGAGTGAAGAAGCAGTAGAGAAACTACTAAAGGATGTAAACAGATTAAAACAAGAAATTAAAAAAAGAAAACAAGCACAGATTCAAGCAGCACGTAAGTAAAAAGTTCGCACACCACCTCTTTCTATGCCTAAAAAAAGTTCTGATTTGAATTATGGATGAGCCAGCTGCATGGATGAATTTGCCCATCTTAAGATTAAAAATAATTGTTTTATTAATACTCTTAAATCCCACTGAGCAAAGAACATGGTACTATTATAGATATATTCTATTGTTGACATTAAAGAATTTAATTATAATATTCCCTTAGAATATTATGGCATGAGTAGGAGTTTGGGATTATGCAAGTCATTTTTCTCAGTTTAGACAATTTGATAAAATTGTTAGTATTTCTGACTCACCTTTACTAACAGATAACTATAAATGCTTTGTAGAACAACTATTGTATGTTGAACTGTTACTTTATTTTGTTTTAGGAGAGAAGAATGTCCAAAAAGACCCTCAGGAGAACATTATTCTTTGTCAAGCTTTACGGACCTTTTTTCCAGATTGTGAATTTCTTCACTCATGTGTTATCTCCTTGAAAAATCGGCATATCTCTAAAAGTAGCTGTAATACCAATCACCAACTTAATGTGGTGGACAACCTGACCTTAATGGTAGAATACACTGACATTTCTGAAGCTAGTCCAGCTAGTATTGCACGGCAAGAGAGGAAGCGTAAAGCTTTAGATACAGATGACAGATGGCAATTCAAGAAGTCACGGCTGTTGGAGATACAAAGTCAACCATCTAAAACAGATACTGATAGTAGTAACCAAGAAAAATCATCCACAAGCAGCCCAGAAACGGATGAGGAGATTGAGAAAATGAAGGATTCTGGTGACTATCCAAGGTCTCCTACATTTTGATCCTTTCAGGCCAAAAGATTTTTGATCAGCTGTGTTTGGCTATTTGCAGTAATACATTAAAAAAAAAACAAAACCTAACCACACCTAATTTGACAACTATTTTTTAAAGCTATTTCTATTGGACTTTCAAAGCATTTACTTCGTTTTTATTGCAAGAGTAACTTTCTTTTTAATGCTCATTTTTCAACAATACAGTAACATCAACTTACAGGTATGAAAACAAAATAGTTGACTCTTGGCAATGCAGAACTCAACAGGTAGGAGAGTCATGGGTTTCAGTAAGATTTTTAGGAAGAATGCTTAGTTTAACCCAATTTAATGAATTGGTTAAGTGGAGGTTGGCTAAGAGAGCTTTTGCTGTATTTTTTTGTATTTGTCTGTTTCATAATTGTGAGAATTTTCCATGAAGTATACACATCCCATGAAGCCTTCATGTTTCACTCTCTGTATGAAATGCTGAGCATGCACTTTGGCTATTGCTTTTCCATGTTATTTCCTAATAGAGCAAATTCATAGCCAGTATAAAAAATTACCATCTTTTATCAATGTGTTAACATGCACTAGTTACCATGGGATGCTTAGGAAGCCCACATAATACCAGGAATGATTTTGCAAATAATGAGTTACTTCTGGGCTGTTTTACTGGTTACGTAAGAAGCCTGTGGTGTTGTGGAGGGCAGAAGGAGGGAAACAGGTTGTCAGTCTGAACCCTATTTAAAAATAATCACAAACATCAGAACATATAGAACATAGATAATGTCTAAATGTAACCAATAAATGAACAAAACTGGGTGCACAGGCAAGACTAGGAACAGCAGAGGCAACAAGCAGCCAACATATATGCAAATATCTTCTCTAGATAACAGCTTGAGGTTTTTCAAAGATCCCACATATTTACTCAGACTAAAGTTTAAAAGTGCCTCAATGGAAAGTTCAATTTGCTAAAATGCTATAGAGGTACAAAAGTATTTAGCTTATACTGTTGTATAACTGCTAATCAGAGAAGCTTGCTCAGATCATTAATTAGTACACAGCTAAACTTCCACAATTAAGTTTGATGACCCAACTTTAAGCGTAGTAAAAGGAGGAAAAGAATATAGGAAAATTTCCCTCCAACTTTTGGCAATAAGACGACACAATATATCACCTATGGATCAGTTTATTTAAAGGACACTACCAGTTTCAGGATAGACTAGCCCAGGAATAAATGTGAGATCCTGTAACATCACCACTATCCATCCAATGTAACATATCTACATAAAATATCCACTCTCCTAGTCCAGTATACCTGTATTTGCTAGTTAGGAAACCTTCCTGAGCAATTTCAGGTCCACACCGTCGTGAGGGATTTGTACATTATACAAGCATTCCACTTTCCTGTACTAAATCCATAAAATGCCACCTACATGACATAATCTGGACCTAACGTAAAATCCCAATACAAGTCATCTTTTCCATATTTAATATCCCATTTTCAGCAGTCTTATTGTATAAGCTATTTGTGGACCAGATATAAATGACAGTGCTACAGTACCAATTTTTTTATTCATGTTTATGGAAATGTAATGAGTGTTAACACTTGAAATAATCTGGTTTTATTTAGTGAACACCCACTGGTGTGGATAGGTAATGCCTCACTTCACTCCTGAAACACTTTTTCCTCAGAAAATTTCAACTTAAGAGTTACAACAATGATTTATAGTTTGGTAAGATTTACTTTAGCCTACTAATTTTCTAAAAGTTATTAAATCTTATAGTTTGAGTCAACAACCATTTATTTTTAAATAAGTTTATTGCTGATAACTTTACATAATTTACTCCCGATATTTGATGTTACAAATTTTAGGGTCTTTGAGATATGCAGGATCCTTGTATGTAACTGGCATAAATCCTGTAAAGAGACAATTCAGTTCTTCACAAAAGATAACAACCAAAATTGATAAGCCCAAATCATTTTTTCAGATTCTCTTACCCATTATTTGTGCTCTCTTAATAGCTTTTGTGATTTCTCTTTGTTTCTTCCCACAAAGACCTATAAAAAAAATGCTTTCTTAGTCATAAAAAATACCAATATTCAAAATGCATAACAATTGTCTAAGTCAAGGAAGGATCAGAAAACCTGTAAAGAGCCAGATAGTAAATATCTTAAACTTTGTGGGCTGTACAGTCTCTGCCGTAACTTCTCAACTCTACTCTTAGTACACAAAGCAGCCAGCCACAGACACTACGTAAACTAAGCTATTTACAAAAATAAGTGGCAGATCCAATTTGGCCTATGAGAAATAGGGCTCTGTTTAAATAATAGTCTAGGAGCGATGATAGTATACTCCAAAATACCAACACAATTTTTTAAACCCAAGTTTTTTACACGTCAGATTATAGCTATCTCTGAATATGAGAAGACATGTAAAATAGTACCCTTTTTGGAATAAGAAGCTTTCTTAAATACTAAGCTTGCCAACAGTGATTTATATACTATTTGAAAATAAAAAATTGCCAGTTTTCTTAAATAACAAAAGTAGATTTATAAGTTGCTATAAGAGAAAACAAAATACCTGTTATATGCCTTCCATGAATGCATCCAGTAAATGGAGAAATAAACTGGGACAAAAGCTGTTTGAGTTTTATTTGGAGAGGAAGAAAAAATTTATATTAATACACGTATTATTCATTCTTGACTGTAAATTTCAAAAAGCATACCTCATGTCACCTTCCAGTTAATAAAGGTTTACTAATAAATTTCAGACAAACTTCATAAAATATGAAAAATACTACTATACTCATCCTATTGACAGATTATCTTTTTAAGTAACTAAAGCAATTATTAAAGTTAACATCTCTTACTCAGTCTGTTCAAAAAGTTTGTACAACAGATTAATGAGCATATTGTTTCAGTGCTAAAGCTGTTTTCTTTTTTTAAATGTTTTTATTAATTTTAGAGAAAGGAAGAGAGAAACATCAATGAGAGAGAGAAACACCAATGGGCTGGCTCCTGCATACCTCCTACTGCGGAGCAAGCCTACAACGTGGGCATGTGCCCTAGCTGGGAATTGAACCAGTGGCCTTTTGGTGCATGGAACAACACTGAACCAAATGAACCACACCGGCCAGGGCTAAAGCTGTTTTCTTGTTTATACAGATTCTTTTCTAAAATACTCCTGTTTACAATGAAATACTAAACATTTCACCTATCATGATAGGCTGTCACCTAATACCAGACTATAGTGAGGTCTTTAAGAGATAGGTACATCGGGCCATTTGCTATAATTATGTTTCATAAATTTAAATTCTTTAGCACATTCCAGGTGCCCGGCAGTGTTCTTGGAATAATGCTCCCAATATGTTGAATTTATTTTTATATTGTTATGACTTATTTTTTTATAATTCTTTATTGTTGAAAGTATTACATATATGTGCATTTAAAATATGTGCATTTAAAAATTTCCTAATATGTGCATTTAAAAATTTCTTGGTTTTTCTCCCTATAAGGCAGCTATCACTTTATACTATTGTCAGTATACTTCAACCTCATTCTCTACCCCAGATTTGCCACTTAACTTGCTGAGAGCTGTAAAACAGATAAAGTTGTATTTGAAGCAGTGATATTGTTGGTGAGGTAGAGAGATCAACTTCACCAGAGGAGCTTTTTCCAAACTACTCACCTCCATCAACTGAGAATTACTGCCATTGTGAGCTATTATTAGAATAAAATAGAGATGCTTTATACATAGAAATATAACCAGATTTGGAATTACGATGTTACTAAAACAGCTGCCCCTCCATAAAGCCTGTTATAAAACTGACTTGATTCTCTTTAGTTAGGACTAATTAAAAAAGCAAAATCCTAGAATCAATTATCATAGTGAAGTAAAACATCTCACCTGTACATTCTTATAATCTACACGTTTTCCACACAAGACGCACTTTTTAAGAGGCTCCTTATAAGGGTTTTCTATTGGAACAGGCTAGGATAAAGGGAAAAGAATATGATTAAAAAGTTTAATGCGTTAATTTCAAATCTAAAAAACACTAAACCTTAAAGCTACCACATTTAAATCTATCCAAAGAATTAGTTCTGCCTTTCTTACTGTGAAAAGGAATACAACATCTTGGCTTGTAAAAGAAAAAACAAGTACTTCTGAAAAGGACTCACCATTATAAAGATTTCAGTATGCTTTTCCATATTTTGTACAAGTGTTTTATTTTGGCTTAGTTTGGTTAAGGAGGAGTTAAGTCATGGATTCTAGAATAAGACACAGTCTTTGGAGAAAAAAGGACTTATGGGAGAAACAAAATTAAATCTGCACTAAGTGATTTCCTCCTCAAATGTTTTGCCCAAGTGACTAAAAATTCTTAAGATTTAAATTAAGAAAATCTTATAGCACAACAGGTGTCATATGTAATGTCTAAACCCATCCCCATATTTCTCTATCAGATGTTTTATCACTATTTTTGTTTTTAAAAGACAATGCCCCATAGCTTACTATAATATAAGGTCCTTTGACTACCATTTTATGGCTCCCAGACTTCTTTCTAAGTTTGTGTCAGCCTTTGGACTTCCTTTCTTCACTAACTATATGCTTTTGTCACAATGCCTCCCTCCTACGAGTATAAGCATCTCCAGTCTAGAGATTCTTAATCTAGAAATGGCTTTAAAGTCCTCTAACTCCTGTAGTTGTATGTAAAATTTCAAATGAGTGGGACTGTGTGCCTTTTTCGTTTGTCTTTTGAATAGCTTTTTAAAAAAATTCTTGATTTCAGAGAGAGAGGGACGGAGGGATAGAAACATCAATGATGGTAGAAAATCATTGATCAGCTGCTCCTGCACGACCCCTACTAGGGATGGAGCCTGCAACCCAGGCATATGCCCTGAACCGTGATCTGGTTCATAGGTCCACACTCAACCACTGACCTACACTGGCCGGGCATGTGTGCCTTTTTCTGAGAAAGCCCATAGCTTTCATTAGCGTCTAAGTGGGGTTAATAACCTAAAAAGGAGCTCTAGTAATTTCCTTCACTCTCTTGAGGTAGGTTGTGAATTGAATGACTAAGATAGATGCTCAGGAGGACTAGAGTTCTTTGTTTTTTCCAAGTCCTCAAATGTTCTTAAACCAACTTACATTCAGCTCACATGTAATGACTGACTATATTCCTACCCTACACTGTACTATGTGCTTTGTATGGTCTGATTAGTGTCAGATTATCTTTGCAAGTAGGAAGAAAACCTATACTGACAAGTCCAACCCTAGCACTTAAAACCTATAAAAATAATCTATAGAACAGAAGAAATTATATTTAATGTCCTCATATGAAACTTTCATTTTGATCTCTCATTTATTAAGACAACCCTCCCCCCAAAAAATTGAATGGGGCAATAAAATCGAATTTGAAATGGGGAAGAGCCAACCTGTAAGTAAGCTTTGTACATAATGCCTTTGTTGGATTATCTGCAATTATTCTATCCACCCAAACAACCTTTTTAAATTCTCAAAGCACACATCCTTAAATTTAAGATCTAGGAAGAAAAAAATGTATTATAGAAGCCATGCTTTTAAAAAAAATTTTTTTTTATTGATTTTGAGAGAGAGGGGAAGGGAGAAAGAGAAACAGTGATGATCAATCAGTTTCCTCCCACATGCGCCCGGCCTGGGGCGAGAACCCACAACCTGGGTATGTGCCCTGCCGGGAATCGAACCCACCAC